GTTGGCTACGTGGGAGTCCAGCAACATAGCCATTACACTAACTGCTGGTCCCAGAAATGGAAAATTATTGATGATAACATGCATGATTAAGCCACTATGCAGTATAATCTGGATGGGAAATCACATTTTGTATGCCGTGATGATGCTCAGGGAATGAATGTAAATTAATTAATTAAAAAAATGTTTCAGAAAAAAATTGTTTTAATGAAATAAAATAATAGTAAAAGAAAAAAACAAAATCGGGATATAGCCAAGTTCTTCCTTAAGGCCTCTCCATAGCAGAATCTGTCCTTCGGTTTTCTCTTTGTATTAAAACCTTTGGAGTCCAAATAAATTTTTGCATTTTCAAAGAAAAAAAAATATTTTGATTGAAGAATTTGTTATTTATATATTTCTGTCATGAGTGAGAGAAACAGAGACAGAGAGACAGCATCCCCAACAGCCTTGGTGCCGTGACGCACCCCAGCCTCAGCCAGCCCGGATCACAGGCAAGCACCTGCTCAGTGTACTCAGGGAGGCCTCCAGGTGCAAGCTCAGAACCTTCTCACTGGGTCAGCCTCACAGAGGGCTACATTTTACTGCTGAGCCACCACCCAGCTCCCTGACTGAAGAACTTTAGTAAGGACCTGTCCATTTTAAAACAAAGTATGGGCCCAGCCATAGTGGCGCAGGTTACAGGGTATCAGCGCACAGTACTGCAGCCCCATGGGAGGCCCAGGTTCAGACGCCAGGTCACCCTGAACACAAAGTGTGCCCGTGATCCTGGCTGGCTGGGAGGTTGGGGAAGGATCAGGGTAGCCAAGTCACCGTCAGGAGCACTTGTCTTCCTCTTTTCCTTTTTTTACTCTCTCTCCCTCTCTCATGAGAGACATAAATAAACTTAAAAAAAAAAAAAAGTCCCACATGGCTGACTACATGGTTCAAATCCCAGACCCAGCAACTTGAAAAGTGTACTGGACATATGTGAATCTACGCTCAAAATCCCAAGAGGAGAAAGGATTGTGGCATGGCCATCCCCTTCTGGGGGTGGTTTCTCACTTTTCCTCTCTCTCTGCACTGAGTGCATATGCCATATAGCAAAAGCTAAAATGAAAAAGTAAGAGGCCAGCCAGCTGGTGTGGTGGTTAAGGCAGCTAGATCCCATATGGCTGGCTGTGTGGTTCTAATCTGGACCTGGCTAGCGTGAAAAATGTGCCATGTGCCATGTGCCATGTGCATGTGTGTCAACAATCCTGAGGGCAGAATCCTGAGGAGAAGGGTTTGTGGCATGGCCATCCTCCCTGGGGGATGATTTCACACTCTCTCTCCCTATATGTCTCTCCCTTCCCTCTCTCATGGGAGAAATAAACCTTTCTTAAGTGTGAAAACAGCCTGGATAAATGAATTACAGTTCCAGTGCTACAGTTCAAGGTACTGTCCTGACTGCACATCCATGGTTTAAGCTCCCCGAGCACTTGTGTTCTGATCCACAGACAGGCATGGTAGTACTTGTCTGACTTACAGTTAATATAAGCACCATCAAAGGAGCTGGCAGGGGTGTGGTGGTTAAGGGCTCTGGACTCCCGCATGGCCGACCACGGTTCAAGTCCTGGACATGGCGGCTTGCTTTGTCCCTCTCCCTCTCTCTCTCGCTCTTGCTCTCACTCTCACTTTGTCCCTCTCTGGTCAAAGTACAATTAATTAATTAATTTTTTTTAAAAAGTAAGTACCATTAAAATGCGAGTGAGGGCCAGCAGGTGGTATGGTGGTTAAGGGCGCTGGACTCCAGCATGGTCAACCACGGATCAAGTCCCAGACCTGGTGCCTTGCTTTCTCACTTCCCTTCTCTCTCTCTCACTCTGTCCCTCTCTGGCCAAATTTAAAAGATAAATAAAGTTAAATAAAATAGTTCTTTAAAAAAAAAATGCAAGTCACAAGTTTTGAACAGAAGGGACCAGAGTAGGGTACCTTCTAAAAATATCAGATTAATTAAGTCAACATCCATGGGGCTGCATGGAGAGAACAGTATTTCTTAAACTTATTCAGATAATTCTGTTATGTAACCATGGTAAACATCCAGTGATCTGGTCCCATCTTTAGCTAAAAATAATTTTTTCTCTGAAGCCTAGAGGAGGTTTCCCAGAAATAGGAGAGCTTAGATTAGACACCCAGCCACGGCCTCTCAGCAAGCACACACCTACTAATGCCCTGGAGGCCCTCCTGAAGAGAACACCATTATTTGTGTATCTGTTACCTCAACAATGTCAGTGAGATGTAGACCCTTACGACGAGTTACTTTAACACACTATACAGTGAGCCAACAAGTTGCATGGCGGGTAGCGCACTGGACTCCTGCATGGCTGCACAGCCACGTGGTCAGCTACGGTTGAGTTCCAGACTTGGTGGCTTGCTTTCTCACTGTCCCTCTCTGTCTCGCTCTGGTGAATGCATGTGCCCTAGAGCAAATTTAAATAATAAATAGACAAATACATAAAAATTCAGTAAATAATTCTTATTTTTAGAGGATTTTTGTTGCCTCTTTTTTTTTTTGCCATAGGGTATGTGCTCTCACCTGAGAGAAACAGACGGTGAGAGGGAAAGCAAGAAGTCACCCCTGGGGGGATGGCCATGCTGTAATCCCTTCTCCTCTATTCTCCTGGGATCTTGGGCATGCATGCACATGAGCCCAGTGTGATTTTCAAGCTGCTGGGTCCAAGACTTGAACCATGGTCACCATGTGGGAGTCCAGCAATGTAACCACTATGCCTTCTGCTGACCCCAACAATAAATAATGCTTAAAAATAAGAATCATATAGTAAAATGCAAATGTCACATTTCTTAGTTCCCTGCTTCCTTTTAAAAAGGCTCCTTAACTTACCCAAGAGCCCCCATGGGGTGGGAAACCATGGTGCTGGGACCAGACGCAAGTAAGAGCTCAACGAAGGCCGATCTCTCTGCAGGCGGGAGCGCTGTTCAACCCCTGAGGAAACGAATGATGTTATTTTAGCATCATTTGCTTAGGCGGATCCTAGAGTCTAAGCAGGTTAATAAAACCAGAGTGAGCAAATGGAAGATACTAACACATCATACCACCACACAGGTTTCCTAACTGGCGTTTGAGCGTGACCAGGATGGGGCGACAAGCTCACCCTGCTGCCAGGCAGACCCGCGCTAGAGATCTAGCTCCACTGGGTACAGGCTACTTGACCCCTTCTGCATCGTGGGTCCCCCAACCGCACAGCAAGGGCACCAATACTGCCTCGCAGTCAAATGAAACGCAGCATGGTAGACACGACAACATGGGTGAACTGTGAAAGCATCGTCACACGTGGAAGAAGCCGACACACAGGGCAGGCATTGTAAGCGTCCACTCGTGGGTGACACCCAGAACATGCAAATCTGCAGAGCTACCACGGAGGACGCCAGCAGTTGCTAGGTGCTGCAGGGTGGGCGGAGCTAACAGGATGGCCCAGGGCTCCTTCCTGTACAGAATGTTGGGAAACTGGATTGCGGTGATGACTGCACAACTCCATAAACGTACGAAACGTGAGGTCACACACTAGACTGATGAAATGTATGGTGTGTAAATTAGATCGGAAAGAAACCATTTTTTAAAATACAAGTCTGAGAGGCCAGCAGGTGGCATGGTGGTTAAGGGACTGGACTTGGTTAATGGCTGACCTTGGTCCAAGTGCTGGAATCAACAGCTCGAAAATCACACTGGGCACATGTATGTGCACGCCCAAAATCCCAAGAGGAGAGGAGAAGGGATTGTGGCTTGGCCATCACCCCAGCGGGTGATTTTTCACTTTCCCTCTCACTTCTCTCTCAATCTCTAGAAAGCACACATGCCCTATAGCAAAAACTTTTAAAAATAATAGTAATAATTTTGGGCCCCAAACTTTTGGTTAAGGGAGTCAGAGCCCACACGGCTGACCATGTGGTTTGAGTCCCAGACCTGGCAGCTTGAAAAACATAAGAGGCACGTGTGTGTGCACACCCCAGATCCCGGCAGGATGGAGAAAAGAAACGACTGCAGGGCGGCCGTGCCCCACTGCGGGGTGCTTTCCCCTCCCTCTCTCTGCCAAGAGCATGTGCCTCTGGCAAATTAAAAAAATAAAAATTACAAAACAGGTTGTTGTGAAGATTAACGAGGGCACGCCTGTAACATGCTTAGCCAGTGCCTGGCACAGACTGACACTCAGAACATGGTAGCTCTGATGATATCGATTCAAAAGATGTCAAGCTACCCTGCAAACGTTTCCACAGGGAAAATGAACAGCAACCCCCTCACCTACAAATACTGCTTTATACAGAAGCCCTCGGTACATGGAATTTCTAAAGATCACCCAGCAAGCCCGTAGTCTCAAAGGCAGATTGTAAATAGCACGCAAAGCACTGCGTGGGAGGGTGGGCTGGAATGTCATGGGGCCGAGAAGGAAGCGGAGCACGCCCAGCCTCCTCTCCCTCTGCGTCACCTTGCAGGGAAAGACAAATAAATGAAGCCAAGTTTCGAGATGTGCCAGGGATCTTCCCTAATAAAGGCAGAGTTTTCTCCAATCCTTGTTTTCTGAAGTCTGCCCGGGACCTCAAACTCCCTTCTCACTAGAATAAGGGGGTGGGGAGATAAATTACAAGGGTTTATGAAAAGACAGTCACGAGAATCAGATAATTTGCAGGGGGAATCAAGATTTTAAAAGCTACCACCAGTCCTTTCTGGGGGATATTAAGCAAGCAAAGCCTCTTAACTGTAATCACCCCTAATTAGCCATCAGCAACTCATGCAATTACTCATGGCATTGAAGACCCTCAGATTCTTGGCTTCTGGCCAGAAGTTACACTGAGACCCACCAGGAAGGGAGCCAATGAGTGCAGATTGGAACCGTTGAAGCGCCTCTGGATCCGAGGTGTGGTCTCCTGGCTCCTGGCCGCAGAGCAGGTTTGCACGATCAGGACTTAACAGGGAACTCAGATGAAGCCTTTGCCAAGTGTCTAACAACCATCAACTAATCAACCATTATTTGTGTGATAGGTGGTGTGACCAGGTCCGCTCTGGGGATTCCAAGACAAGGGTAAGGCAATGTAGGCTCTCGCTCCGGTGGATCAGATTCAGGGACATGCCGTGCTGGGACAAAGGAAGGTGTTACCCAGAACGGCACGCAGGAAGCTGTCTGTTCAGACCATAGGCGCAAGGCAAGCTAGCAGGAGGTCAGGGATCACGGTAGACTGGTCTGGCCTCGGCAAGGGAGAGGAGACTTATAATCGAGCCTCAGCCTAAGCAGGCTATAAATGGATCAGCTGGGGTTGTTACATGCTGTAATCCAAAAGACCTGCATGTGGAGCCAGCAGGTGGTGTGGTGGGTAAGGCTCTGGACTTCCACACAGGTGACTGCAGTTCAAGTCCTGGACCTGGTATCTTGAAACTCATGCTGGGCACGTGTGCGTGCTGCTCAAAATCCCAAGAGAAGAATGGAGGACAAGGGATTGCAGCGTGGCCATCCCCCCGAGGGGTGATTTCTCACTTTTTCTCTCTGTCTCTGTCTTTCTCTGGCAAGCACACTCGTCCTATGGCAAAAACCTAAAAAAAAAAAAGAGCTGAGTGGGAGACCAATGTCCCTACTCTCAACCGTGTGGCCCTTGGCAATTTGCCTCTCCTCTGTGAAATGAAGGGGTGCTGCTGTACTTCCCTCAAGGGGTGGTTGTGAGTGCTCGGTTCTTCATTGAGAATGCATGTCCTGGTGTGGGAGACACACACACATGCACACACGCACGCACACGATGGACTGGAGCCCTGCCCTCGAGTAACTTACAGCCTAGCCATTAGAGAGCCATATTCTTTAGACAAACATAAGTATTAAAGTAAAATTGTGGGAAGAGCCATGACAGAAGCTCAGGTGCCTCAGGAGGTACCTGGGCAGTGGTCAGGGAAGGCCCCTCGGAGGCAGTGGCCTCTGTGCTAGGCTGGAGGCTGGCCAGGCTGGGCAAAGGAACCGTGTGTATAAAGGCATGTGAAGAAGGGAGGAAGGAGGAAGCTGTGTGGCGAGAACATGGTGAACCAAGGACTAGGAAGAGGAAAATACCCGGGGTACGGTGCGTGAGTGGGTAAGGAGCGGAGGGAAAGAATCGTGTCAGAGGCGACTCAGCTGGGTTTCTGGTGGGTACAAACGAGCCTTTGTGGGTTTGTCGGGAAAGGAAGACGGTTACTGAAGGAGAAGGATTTGGGTAGATGGTGTCTCCACAGTGGGGCGACTGCCTAACGAAATCTGACCAGGAGTCAACCAGAAAAAACTCTTAAATGATCAAAACGGGGCGTGGTGGTTAAGGGCACTGGACTCCCACATGGCTGACGGTGGGCTGAGTCCCAGACCTGGAGGCTTGCTCGCTCGCTCGCTCTCTCTGTCCCTCTCTGGTCAAATTAAAATAAATAAAGTTAAATAAAATAATTCAAAAAAAATTTAAAAAAGAATTATCCAAACAATTTGCAACTAGATCGCAGCGTCAGCCAGTTTTCTCTTTTTTTTTTTTTTTGGAGAGATTTTCACTGTAGGGCGCGTGCGCTCGCCAGACAGACAGAGAGAGACATAGAGACAGAAAGCGAGAAATCACCCCCCAGGGGGGATGGTCACGCAGCAATCCCTTCTCCTCCATTCTCCTCTCGGGATCTTGGGCACGCACGCACACGCGCCCAGCGTGAGTTTTAAGCCACCGGGTCTAGGACACGAACCGCGGTCGACTACGTGGGAGTCCAGCGACATAGCCATTACGCTAACTGCTGGTTCCCGCGTCAGCCAGTTTTGATGGAATGAGCGACCTGGAGCCATTGACAGCTCTGGAGCAGGGAGAGACCTGACAAAGTGAAGTTTCTCAACACTCTGCTTGGCAACAGAGTGCAGAACAGACAGAGCACACACCAACCACAGAGCCAGGTCCCCCCTGAGGTTTGCTCCTACTGATTCACGACCTTCCTTGACAGCGACAGAAAGCTCCAGCCATCCAGTCTGCGAGAACGCACGCTCCCTGGAGGGCAGCATCCCGCCTTCTCTCCATCCCACCAAGAGGCACATCAAGGCCAAGTCACCTGACTGGGCTCAGGCCAACGTCGCAGTCCCCACACACCAGGAGGAAGGGGCAGGAGCCCCAGGACCCAGGACAGTGAGGCAGAAAGGCGGACACAGAGGTCCAAGGAGGGCAGAAAATGCTTCTCTAACCCCCCAAAAGTCACTGTGCTCTAAACTAGGCCATTTCTCTGCTTTTCTTCCTCCCAGGCCCACGGACCATCCTTCCTGGGTATCCTCCTCATGCCTGACCCGAAGCTCTGGAAGCCCCTGCCTGACTCAGCCCACACTTTGCAAGAGAAGAGCTGCTCGGCCCCTCAGATCTGGGTCCAGCAAGGCCTGACCTAAATGCCAGCCCCTCACGGGCCCCCGCCCTGCCCCACCCACTGCTCTCTGGAACTCCCACAGTGTAAAGCTGCCACCCAGCAACACCAGCTCTAGTTCCTGGGGAGAGGAAGTGACTGGCCACCAAAAAAACGAGGACAGGGATTTTCAAAGATGGTTCCAGACCGCACACCTGCCAGCCAGCCGGCACTCCAGCCCCTGCCACCGTTCTCTGACCACCGCTGTCTGCAGTCCGCTCCAGCCCCACCTGACCCTGACGTGCTCCGGGTGGGCGGTGGCTCTGACACCAGGATAGAGCCCAGCTGCCTCTGTCCTCCTGACTAGTGAAGTGCAGGAAGAGTCAGGGACCGCCTCTGTAAGCACCTGTGATCAGCCTCAGGCCCACACAGTTCTCCGGTGAAGCTGAGGCCGCACAGCAAGTTGGGGTACGGCAGGTAAGGGACGCCTGAGAGCAGGCCCAGGCTTAGGGAAAGGTGACTGATTAGACAGGTGGGATTTCTGGAGCCTTAAAATAAAATAAAAAACTAAGCTAAAGGACTTGCGAGTGTGGAAAATGAACCAACCATGTGCTGGGGAACAATACCATGTAAAGGTCAGAGGGCAGAGGGCCAAGGGCCACAGTGCCCACTGAGGCGAATGCAGAGGGAACGGCGGGGAGAACCAAGGGGGCACTGGGAGAAGACTGGCCTGCACGGTGCTGAGGGAGTGGGCAGCCCAGGGCGAGGTGGGCAGTGTCCCTGCAGCCCCACGAGGAGCACGGACAAAGAGCTTTGGCTGGAGTAAGGACAGGGCCGTCAAGAAGGATGGCCAAAAAACAAGAGATAGAAAAAGGGGTGCTCTTCCTTCTTCGAGTTCCCCCCTTATCTAAAATAAAAAGACCCAGAGCAGGCAGGAAGAGTAGAGGGGGGCTAGCCTTTAAACGGGCATCGTTAACAATACTGTGGGGGAATCTGCCAGCCGCCAATGGGAGCACAGATGGCTTAGATGACAGTGAGAAGGAAAGTGAGAAATCACCCCCACAGGAGGGACGGCACGCCACCATCGCTTCTCCTCCTGGGATTTTGAGCACACGTGCACACGTGCCCAGCATGTTTTTGAAGCTGCAGGTCTGGCACTCGTACTGCAGGTGACCATGTGAGAGCCCAGCACCTGAACCACCATGTCACCTGCTAGCCCAGCCATCTTTTAACAGACACCAGGCATGATCTTGTCGTGCTTGCCCTCACTGGATGGGAAGCTTCTCAAAGGCAAGGATTGTCTTCATCTTTTAAAGTTTTTGTCACAGGGTGCATGCACCCACTGGAGAGACAGAGAGAGGGAAAGTGAGAAATCAACCCCTGGGGGATGGCCATGCTGAAATCCCTTCTCCATTCTCATCTTGGGGTTTGAGGCATACATACACAAGTGCCCAGTGTGATTTTCAAGCCACTGGGTCCAAGATTCAAACCAGCGTCAGCTAGGTGGGAATCCAGTGCCTTAACCACCACATCGCCTGCTGGCCTGTGTCCTAGTTGTCTTTACACGTGCCCACTCACTGGACATGCAGCCTGGGACAGGGAGGCACACGACTGCAGTTGATAAAGGAATGGAAGAACAAACGGATAGGACTGAATAGCGCGTGCTTCTCACCAACGTCCGCTTCTTAGGAAGCAGGGGCCCTCGCTGAGCTCCCTCTTCCTGCTGGTGCTTGGTAAATGTCCCCGACAGGCCTAGGGACAGAATGAAGGCGCTAACCCCCTGCACGTGTGTGCCCCTTCCAGGAGGGTCTGACTGTCCCGAGCCCTCTGGTGGAGGTCACCAGTCACTATGGTACTGACCCAGGCCAAGGGATATTCAGGGCAGGTGACCTTGGGGCCCCATGCCCACCGCCCCATCTGCAGCCTCTCCCTGTTCAACAGGGCAGCAACACCCCCCAAGGAGTCCTCTCTCCCATCCTTTTTTCCTAGACATAGAACTCACTTCTTCCCATGGAAGCCCGAGTGTACACTGGCTGGCTCGCCCACAACGCCGTGCAAGCCCACGCTGGCTGCTTCCAGGTAGCCACAGAGCAGTGGGTTCTGTGCCCATGAAGGACGACTGTCTTCTCTCCCTACCTGAGAATTCATGCCATTAGCCTGGCTTAGTCAGAGGTCTCAGTGAAATCTGCATCATTGTCACAGCCATTAACATTAGTATGGTTTTTATTTGTTTTCAACCCATAAAAAAAAACGTTTCCCAGGCAACTAAGGAAAACATTCCAGGGCAGAAGTATCAGGCGGGCAAGATATGTAAAACCCGAGAGCCCTGTGTTCCTGCTTCTGTGCAGAGTTGCTGTTTCGATAACAGATGGCCTGAACCTGCATTTCAAAGGGGAACGTGGGGAGCAGGAGGCTTCTCCTCCCCAGGTGTCACTCACACAGCCACGGGATGTACAGCGCCTGATAAACCTGGCCACGTTGCTTCACTCCTGTCAAGCCTCACTGCAGAACTCCCCTCTGGCAATGGTCACAGAGCATCACTGATTTATACTGAACTTCCCTCCCTCACAGGGACCTGGCCCCTTCCTGGAAGTCTTACTTTTACGCTGCTGGTGCCTAGAACAGAGCCAGGCACAGCAGGGAGTCGGCGAGACCCTCCCCTCCACTGTGCTTGGAAGTTCTTTCTGATGTAGTTTGTTTCCAAGGCACTGTCGCCTGGCCCAGGATCTGAATAGCAGCAACTCTGCTCTTTTTTTTTTTTTTTTTGGAGAGATTTTCACTATAGGGCGCGTGCGCTCGCCAGACAGACAGAGAGAGACATAGAGACAGAAAGCGAGAAATCACCCCCCCCGGGGGGATGGTCACTCCGCAATCCCTTCTCCTCCATTCTCCTCTCGGGATCTTGGGCACGCACACACACGTGTCCGGCGTGAGTTTTAAGCCACCGGGTCCTGGACACGAACCGCGGTCGACTACGTGGGAGTCCAGTGACATAGCCATTATGCTAACTGCTGGTTCCCGCAACTCTGTTCTTTGATAGTAACTGCTAATTGGTTCAGAAATTAACACTATTGATGACATTCTCCACACCACTCCCTGGGTCCCCAAGCACTTAGGTGCGTAATGGTTAAGGAACCAGACTCCCACATGGTCGACTAAGGTTCAAGTCCTGGACCTGGCAGCCCAGAGCGTGTGCCTGAGATTCCAAGAGGAGAATGGAGAAGGAATTGTGGCATGACCATTCCCTGCTGGGGGCGATTGCTCACTTTCTCTGTCTCTGTCTCTCTCAGGTGAGTGCATGGACCCTATGGCAAAACATTTAAAAATTTTAAGAAAAAATAAACACCCAGACACATGATGTGACACAGGCCACCCCAGCTAGGAGGCAAAGACACCGAGAGACATAGAGACATATTCTAGCTCTCTCCCAACTCAGACTCAGCCCCTCCTCACAACTGCTGAGAGCAGTTACAATCTCTAGGCTGTAATTATCAAATAAAAAGATCTAGCCCGCTGAGCTCTGCACGAGGGTGCAGCTTTCTGATGTGACGCCCAAGCTAGGACCTCCTAGACCACACCACATCTCATCCTAAAAGCCGATCCGTTCTCCAGCCACCTTGACTACAGCCAGGTGGCCAAGAGACGGAGATCGAGCCATCTTCCTTCCTATCCACCCTCCTCTCCTCCTAATACGAGGCCACATCCTGCCACCTACAAATGACCTTTTGCCACACTGGGAGGACCTGTGTGTGTGGTTCACACACACGTGAAGGGAGAGAGGGCATGCCAGCTGCACTCATGGTAAAGAACAAACACGGGGAGCGAGGGCCACACTCATTCACAAAACAGAGCTGGGCCAGCCTCGGGCCGAGTGGGACCTGGCTAATGTGGTCTTCGTTTAGGGAAAAAACCTGTCGTAACGTTATACATGTACTGGCCAGTGGGTGTCATGGAGATGGGGATGGCCAATACCACATGGCAACTGGAAGGTTTGAATTCTGGCCCGGGAAGCTGGAGGTTTATGCCGGGCACGTGTGCGTGAGAGCCAGAACCCTGAGAGGAGAGTGGGGGTGAATGGGGGCAAGGCGCCACCTCCTCCCGGTGCTTTCTCACGTCCTCTCGCTGTCTCTTCCTGGCAGGTGCATGTTCCCTATACGTTCTCTACTTCTTCCTTAGTTTCCTAAAATCAGAGTCGCTAAACCAAAAGGTAGAACTATTTAGATCCTCCGTGTGTATGGATCAGCACGGGCCACACAGCTAGGAGGTGTGTGAGTTGAACCCAAGTTCACCTGATTGCTAGACCCGTGGCTTGTCTGAGCACTACAAAGAGACTTCAAAAAGCTTTTGAGAGAAACGAAATTAAAGGGTGAGTTTATTTTGATACAAAGAAGTTTTGAGATGGGTATCATAAGGTGATGCAGTGGTTAAGGCGCTGGGCTCCCACATGGTCGATCACAGTTTGAGTCTCAGATCAGCAGCCTGAAAAATCATGCCAGGCCCGTGTGCATGTGTGCCTAAAACCCCAAGAGGAGAATGGAGGAGAAGGGATTGCCTGGTCATCTCGCATGGGGGTGATTTCTCACTTTTTCTCTGGCAAGTTCTCACACACTAAGGCTAACCTAAAAAAAAATAAATAATCAAGTTTAGAGATCCATGCACAGTTTTCCGTAATAACACACTTTCCATGAGCTTCCTGGAGCCCCCTCTGCTTAGCAGTCTCCTGACGCGGGGCATCAGAGGTGCATCCTGGGAACAGGGCTGGCGCCTGCTCACATTTACGTGGGGCCCAGCATGCAGACGTCAGCGGGGCCCCGGCCAGGAGAGGCTGTGTGAGGCGGTGCACTGGCTCAGCCGTATGGGGTAGCTCTGGCCTCGAGCCCAGGGTCCTCATGCATTTGCTGGTGCA